TTTTGTACTTTTGCCTTTTTGGCAAATTGTCAGAGAGACGGAGTGAAAATTTTCAATAATACAACAAAAAAAAGTGCGAAACTTTTTGGCGACTTACGGAAGTCGTAAAAGCAAATTGCATGCGTACAAATTATTATTATGAGTCTTTTTCTTTTTAGAAAGGAATAGGAAAGTGCCTTTTCTCGGGACGAATGTCGCCCTCGTACATACATGTTATTTCTTATTACTTTTATTACATTTTTGTTGTTTTTCTTCTGTATGCAATGCATGCAGGAAATGTAGTGGTTGTTGTTGTTGTTTCAGTTACTTTTAATTGCTGTGCTTGCGGCGGCAAAAAGTGAAAATTGTGCCAAAAATTGTACGTACTTCTTTCTCTCTATATTTTAATATTACTTTTATGGCCAACACACGCGACATATTGCACTGAGAAGGCGAAAGTAATGAGATTTGGTCAGAGCTTTGAGCGAACACGACAAGTGCAGCCCTTTGTCGACGCACACACAGCCATATACGTATAAATATACATATACACACCCTCTCAGAGTACACGTGATTGGGATTTATGGGCTGCCGGCTAAACTAGCTAAATGTTCTGAGAACAGCGCTTACAACAACAACTATTGCCAATGTACTTTGCTGGTCAGTAGATGACGAATACTCATTATTTATTTACCGCCCAGTGGCCAGCGGCTAGAGCTCAGCGGGTCAGAGGTCAACGACCGAAACGAATTGGCCCATAGCACTCAATGGTCGTTACATCGGCTCGCACATCGGCCGATAAGCTAATGGATTTGTTTTACATACACACCGAAGACGATGAACTAGGCACGTCGATGTTGATTTGTGAAATTCAAGTTGATAGCTCAACTCAGCGTACAAATATAGAGAATCTACTCGCATACAAGTATAAACTATAACTCTTTAGACTTATAGCTCTCCATTCCGTACCGTGCATAGATAAAGATTTTCTGCACTCAGGTGCCTTTATTATTCTGTTTTATTTATATTTTTTCTTTGTAAGACCTTAATATTATCTCTGATTCAGTTTGGCCGTCCCTGGTTGACAAACATCATTGTCAACATATATAAATAGAAGAGTGCAATCGTCTGAAATATGCTTTGAAGTCCCTTCTCTTTTGTAGCAGAGTCGATTCTCCACTACTTTAGAACTTCAGAATGTTTGCAATAAATAAAAAATAATAATAGTGTAGATATTTTAAATCGGATTTTGTGCTCGACTATGCCTTACTATTCTATCAGATTTTTAAACCGAAGCTTACAGCTGGAAATATAAGGACTTGCGTCCATTAAGCGCAAGGAATTTTAAAAAAATAGGTACACTGGCTATCCTTTCTTCTTTTTTTAAGTGGATATATTTTGTAGTCTCACCAATTGCAAGAATCTTTATAACGAATACATCGATATTATTCAGATATCATAGACATTTCTTGCTCGTATTGTCTAAACAGTCTGTTTCCTAAAACTTTTCTCATTACAGTAAATATGTGAAGAGAATGCTTTTTTTTTAACAAATATGAAGATTTGTTCAGATTTAACTACATTTATTATAATAGTGCATATACTTGAATAGCCTAAATAAATGTATATCCCTAGAATCTTGAAGTGTCCAACGATGTATTAACAGCAAGAACTATGCAGTTAATATGACAACAGTGTGACATAAAGGACACTTCATTTCGCCTTGTAAAGTGTTCAATGAAAACAAACATGAAATATGAAATCTTCTCAGGCTGTATATAATATACACGTATACAGATGTGCAAAATCGAAATGTGAATCTCAATAGGCATGCATGTATATATATATGTTTATATCTATGTATTTATATAAATACTTATAGGTATATATGTATACATATATATATGTATAGACAACATTGTTCCAAAAATAACTCAATTTGCCAACGCAACAAAATAATGTGAAAAAAAGAAACTGCAAAAGCTTTTACACACAATGTGCGACACACACACACACACAATTACGCATACACAGTTGTGTGTGTGTGTGCTTTTTTGGCATTACAATATCACGCTTTTTATGTTATTTTATTTTATAGCTGCTGCGCAAAAATTTAATTTACAAATTTCTTTATTACAACCATGCCGCGCTTTTGCTGCCTTTGAAGTAGGCATACGAGTACACACATACATGCATACATGAAGTACGCGTATGTGTGTGTATGTTTGTTTGTTTGTCAGCTAAAATGCAGCAGGTCTTTCGATATCTCATAGATACGCGCACTGATTGCCTTGTCGAATTACTTTAATTGCCAACACACAGAGAGGCCAACACAAATGCAAATACAGACACACAAGCACATACACTGTATACATACATACATACTTACAAACGCATACACACACATGCGTGAGTGAGCATGTGTGGGTTTTTGTTTGTATATATATGCCTGCAATAATGTTTCGTAATGTTATTTTTGGTGTCTTTCTTCATATACGAATTTCATGGATTTCCCTTAAATAATATGTGTGTTGTTGCTGTTGTTATTGTTATTATGCTAGCTGTTGTTGTTGCTATTATATCCATAGCTGGACGTTGAGAAACTTAAGTGACTTTCACTGCCAACGCCAGCGTCGTCGCCGGCATCGCCATCGTCGTCTACGTCATCATCGTCGTCATCGTCGCAGCCGCAGCCGCAGCAGCTCATTTCAATTCAATTCATTTTATTTCGAACAACAACAACTGCAACAACGAACTGACTAACTATTACATATTTTACATTATACAGTGTCTGCATATGTATCTACGTACAGTTTAATCCGTGAATATATAAAAATAGTTACATATTGAGATTCACACAGCAACTGCCACACAAATGGAAGAGGTGTGCTTGTAGAAAAGTCTAACAATAAATGCGGTTAGGATAAACCTTCGATAACACTAATAGATACCTGTTGATGAATGGTTTTATGCTTTGAATATATGTACATATGTGCAAAACAATCTGTCCAATCTGTCTGTCCAACATTACGAAGAATTTGCATCCAAATCCAATTAATTACTAATATGTATATATTTTTGGGAAAACAAAGCTGCTGTTATATCATCACTGAACAGTGTAAAGGTAAATAGTTTGAGGTGTGTTAGCTTGTAACACCGAAAATTAAGAAGAGTAGACCAAATGTTATATATGTAGATTAGATATATAATAGATATGACGAAATCGATGTATCCCACAGTGCTAGAGCCGCCGTAACTGACCATGTCAGACCGATGTTTTCATAAAACGATATGGATTACCAAATGACAAATATGATGAATATGCTTTTTAATGAATGATAAGTTCGTGAGGAAAAGTAAATGTACATAGTTCGCGGCCCATGACCATGGAGGAATAATGTTTTCTTCTAAGACGAAGATAACTTTTCATCTTTTTTTTCAATAACTTTCTACAGCATACAACTAAATCGGATTGCTTCATCTATAACTTTTATTGTCGTTTTATGTTGTTTAATATAACATTTAATACAAATACAGATACATAGTGAGTGTGACTTGTATTTTTAAATACGCGATTGTACCTTAAGGTGAGCATTTCAGGAACTGTTCGAAAATGTTCATCTTAAATTAAGCTTAATAATTGAAGTCCACTGAAAGAATAATTTTTTTTTTTTTGTAAATCTTAAGTTCCCTCGCACTTAGTTTAGCTTCAGAGGCATTATTGTATAATGTTTTTTCTTTTTACTATTACCTTTTATTGAACCGCTTGAATTGTTTTGTCCCGCTGGCGATTGCACGTTACTTTGTCCCAAATTATTTGCGTGTGCTTCCAATTTTGAAGTGACGCTGCTCCACATGTCAAACATACGTTGCGTATACATAATTATAGGGTTGCTCGATTTGGTAAATGAAACACTAATACACACGCGTTAACGTTTAGATTCGGGCTTGGATTTGGGTTTGGGTTCGGGTTTGGCTCTTTTAGGGCTCTGTCTGCCCTGGCCACGTGTCACGAGGCACGTGCCACTCACGAAGCGTATATAAGACTCACACGATCCATGCGTGTGACTGATTCATGAAACTAGCCAATATTATTATAACTGGATATAATAGATATATATATATATATATATTTGTGTACAATATATAAAGGACACTGTAACAGTAACACTTTTTGCACAATTGGTTTGGGTTTTGGGGAGTTGAGGGTTTCAATCGAAGTTTTATAATGAATCGATTCTCTTATATAAGCTTGCAGCGATTTCCCAACTATTTGCGCCAGTGAGCAGGCATTGCACTTGATTCTCTCTCTTTTCTCTATTCTCTCGCACACGCACTCTCTCTCTCTCTCTCTCTCTCTCCGTTGATCTCTGGCGCCCTTTCTTTTTGGGTGTCTTACACTGGCGTCGAGTTCTTCGATAGATGATTTTGGTTTTGAATGTTGTTGTTATTGTTGTCGGTCGCTATACTATATATCGGCGTGTGTGAGTGAGTGCGTGTGTGTATGTGAGTGTGAATTACTAATATCACAGTGGGGCGTATTTTTTGGGCTACGCCTGCAGCTTTATATATTTGTTGTTGTGATTTAATTAATTAATTATTTATTTACTTGTTGTTGTTGTTGTTGTATATGCCAATTAGCCAATATATAGATAGATATATATGTATGTACGGGTGTATATATGTATCCTAATATAGAGATTTATACATATATATATATGCTGTATATATGTGTAACCGATCTAACGTTGTCAGGCCTGTAGGTACTAAATTGTTGTTGTTGTTGGATTTATTTATTGAATTTTATATAAATTTGCTTTGTTGTATATATATTTGTATATATTTATTACATTTCTTTACTATGTATTTAATAAGACACTTGATCGCGCATATACACGTATTCATGAATTTCCCGACTCGAATTTATTTGTTTTTACTTCTATTTAATTGTTTAAAGCGCTTCCTTCGTATTTAGCATTTGATTTGAATTTGTAGAAACGTCGTTTTCTTCTCCTCTTACATAATTGTTTATAATGTTTGTTGCTTTCTTCATTCGCTCAGCCCTTCTGCAATATGTGCAGAGATTTGCGTGTGTATGTGTGCGCCTTCAGGTTATTTAATTTATTACGATTTTTGCTTGTTGTTTTTGTATGTTGTTGCTGCTGCTGCTGCTGTTGGTGTTGTTGTTGTTGTTGACTTTTTATCACTTTCACTGCTGACTGCAATTCGACAACACTGCTGCTGTTGTTGTTGTTATTGTTGCTGCTGCTGTTGCTGTTACTATTTCGGTTGCTGTGATTTTTATTATACTGTTGTTTGACGCTGTTATTGTTGTTGCTGTTACTGTTGCTGACGTTGTTGTCTCTCTCGGCGTCGTTACTGTTGTTATTTGCATTGTTTTGTCGATTTCTCTGAGTTTTTTGATTCCAAATCAAAATTTCCAAAAACACGAAAATTTCACGACAATTAATTCCGGAAGACATTTGGCGCAATGTTTTATTGAATTGAACATTTGGCAAAAGATCCTTTTGCAATATTCACATATCCTAGCACTCACTCTCTATGCCACTATGCAGCACTTTAATGTACAATATCGTTTGTCCTTCGATATAAATGCTGCTGCAACACGAACTCGGCCATCGACAATGCTTGCCACTCAACATATTGGTTATCCTCGCGATATAGTTTCTGCTGTTTTTTTTCAGATTATAGAACAAGCATGTATGCACGTGTGTGTGTGTGTGTGTATGTGTGTGTTTTTCTATATATGATGTATATTGATTGTGCATAGTTACACATATATATGGGAACTCATATCCAAGCGCTGCTGCTTGTGCGACACTCAAAATCGTATTGCAAACTCTATGCGAAACAAGTGGAAATTTCAAGAAAATTCAGCTTTAAACGCAAGCGTTTTTATAAGATTGGTATATTAAGTGAAAGGTTTATTTACTGGACTGTATATGAAACGGCAACTTTAAAACAGATCATACAGTTTGCCAGAATAGCTACTGAAATGATCTACTGATCGAGTTAATTGCATTAATCGATTTATATTTATTTTTCAAAAAAAAAGACCCGCACCTTTGTATTTAACATTAAAAACTAAAAACTTCTGATGATATTTCTATAATTTCTAGTAAACTACCAATTGAAAATTACAATGAAATGAATTATTTGGAACAAAAACTAAATAATATAGTTAGGGTATAACGACAAAATTTTAATTTAACGAAGAATTGTCTTTTTGAAAATAATGCATAATTATTAAGTAAGATACATAGTTGAGGCACTTTACAAGTATATTCCAATACATAGAATTGCTAATATTTACAAATCTAAAGGCCTCTGTTAAAAGGACTTCTAAATACTTGTGGATTTTGAAAGAGAAGTGAATGGATTGGAATATTGAAGGCAGGCAGTGGGGCTAAACGATTTTTCAATAATTCAATTATGCCTTTAATTTTTCAAGCCGTACCAAAACTTCAAAGGCATAAACTGGCGTTCGACAACGGCAAACCCACAAACGGCAACACCCCCTTCAACAGTGTGTGGGAACCTGGGGCGGAGGGCAATGAAAGCACGAGGGAAATAAAAGCAAAACGAAAAAAAATAGCGGCAACATGCCACACGCCACATGAAACTGTGCCGGCCGCTTACCCCAAACACACACACACACACACACATAGTGGAGCATGTAGACAGGCTCCACACACACACACACACACACACACACACACACACACTCACAATCAAAAGTATGCCCATGCGATTATGGCATGAGACTGTAGCATGAACATGAAAAATCGATAGAGAAATGGGATTTAAGGGTGCTGCAGGCACAGACACACACACACACACACACACACCATCACAAACAACATACATTTACTAGACTGGGTGTCATAATGGGCCAAAGCAACGGCAACTGTCTGTCGTTGCATGCCCGCCCCCCGCCACCACCACCGTTGAAAGGCGCGCCTGCAAGTTTAAAAGAAAAGCGGCATGGAGCTGCCAACATGAAAATGCAGTTCACGAAACGGCACGACACCGCATAAATCTCAAAGCGACGTCTATGTGTGTGCGTATGTGTGTGTGTGTGTGTGTATGTACTGATGGGGGGGGGGGGGGGGGGAAGTCATTGATAGCGGCATGTGGGTGGGTGGCCGACCGCTGTGCGTGTGTGTGTATGTGTGTGTTAGTGCGCATGTTAAACACAGAAGAAAGTTCTATGACCCAAAGCTCAAACACTTTGTTGTTTAGTTACACTCGAAAAAAAGAAGATATTTAGCTCTACAAATTAGCTACAATTCAATAAAAATTTACTGAAAGTCGCAGGCAAAGAAATCTGTCCTCCACTTGAGCTAAAGCTGATTTTTAACTAAAGATGGGCTTAAAGAAAAAAATTAAGAAAGGAATTCTTAAAAATTAAGAGCTTGCTAAGCAATGCAGTTGGTTTTAACTCTCTGATAATAATAATAATAATTCCAAATAAATTAGTTAACTGTTTTCAAACGAGTTTTCATTTCTTCCATGCAATTTAAATGACTTTCAGTGGGGTCGTAAAGGGTTAAATAATCTGTAACACTCGTTTATTTTCTATTAACTTAAAAAAAAATAATATATATATAATATAATATATATAATAAATAAATTCTTGAAAATTGAGAGCTCTGCTGAGCAATAAAGATGGTATAATCTCTCTGATAATAATTCCAATTAGATAAGTTAACTGTTTTCAAATGAGTTTTCTTCTTTTCTTTTTTGACTCAGTTTGAATGGCTTGCTGTGGGGTCGTAAAGGGTTCAAAATGTGTAACACTTGGGAATAACATTTCTCTGTGTATTGTTTTCTATGCGTGTGCGAAGGAAGCAGAGAACGCATGCCGGCAACCAATGAATATAAAACATTTTTACTTTTGCCCAAGCCCAACTAACAACAACAACAAGAACTAGCATGCAGCTAAAGCTTACTCGTAACTACAAGCAGAGTGTATTGGTGGGGGGAGGGGTTGTTGGATATGTCTGGGGGTCTAAGAGTCTGAAGTCTGGGGACCGGGGGCCGGGCACCGCGGACTGGAAGCAAGCCTGGGGGTGGGTTATGGCTTTTAGGCATGCGGAAGCCAACGAAACTAAACAGAGTTCAGACACACGAATACGTCACCAAACAAAGTTGCTGTTGTTGTTGCTGTTGTTATTGCTGTTGTCGTCACCAAAGCGACAACAACAACAACAAAAATTGTGCCAGCAACAAAAGCAACAACAACAATAACAGCAGCAACAGCAACAAACAACTAGGCAACAACGGCATTTTGTTAGTGTGGAAATTTACATAAAGACAGGCACGAAATGCTAGCGCAGAACATAACGGAACATTGGGGAAAGCAGCCAGAGCCGACCAAACGAACCTATGTATGTGCGAACGAATGAGTAAAAGAGAGCGAGTGAACAGCAGCTATAAGCGAGTGATAGGGCTGGCAGGCAGGCGGGCAGGTAATCATGGTGTGAGTGCCTGGGGGGAGGGGTGGGCGAAGGGCGACAAGGGGCACAAATAAAGTAAAATATAGTGAAAAGAAAATGAAAATGAATAACCCAACTGAAATGAAAAATTCTCTCATTGTGCGCGACGCAGACGCTAACATCGCTGCTGCCGTCGCTGGCGACGTCGCTGTCGCTGCTGCAGATGACGCAGCCCGAGCGCCAACGAACTTACTAACGGTACTAAAGCTAACGAGCGCCGGTCAAGCCAAAGGGGGAGTGGCATTACAGTTACACCAACAGCAACAACAACAAAGGCGCTGACGCAGACGCTGACGACAAAGTTACAAACACACCGACACACACACACACACACAAACACAAAAAACACATACGAACATATCGTCGTCGTACGTTGACGCCGAAAAAGACCAATGACCTATGCTAGAGCTGCCTAGCTAGGCTTTTTTCCGCTGTCGTGTTTGTTGAAGGGCTATAGGGCCGAGAGGGGGGCTGCGGAGGGGCGCAGACATACTGAGAGTGTACTTAGCAATGTTGTTCTACTAACGGTAATGCAAACAGTTTGGGAAAATAAAAGCGTGCGAGGCAAGAAAAGTTACAAATGTGCGCTACGCGCTTCCATTCTGAGCGTTTCTTTCGTTCGTTTATTGTTGTTGTTGATGTTGTTATTGTTGTAATTACGGGTACAGTGCAGATTCGTTTCAAAAAAGATGAAGTTTAGGCGATAGGCGATTCATAGAAATACCTTTTTTTTATTGTTTTAAAAGTAACTCAGTGGGCGCGTTTCTATTCAAAGTAAATATAATAAAAGGGTTGTTAATTAAAGACTGAATACCCTATTCTTAATATATTTGCTGAATTAGGACTAAAGCAAACAAAGTTAAAAATATTTTAATGACAACTGTGCATTATGTATATTAACAAGTGTCTACTGTAATTAGAACCAACATTAATTCAAATGAATATGTTAGTTTTAATTTAAAGTCGAATTTAAAAACTTGTACAACATTTAGATAATCACTGATTCCCAATGACTGTTCTGCTTAAATTGTTGTTGCTGTGTTGTTAATGTTATTATTGTTGCCAGGGGCTTTTACTGTGCGACCAAGCGACCGACATACTGAACTCCACTGAACTGAGATGAACCGAACCGAACTGAGCTGAACTGGCGGTTTGTCCGATTGACGGTCTGCTTGACTGACTGAATGACTAACTGACTGTCTGACAGTCACTGCTATAGGGTTGGGGGTGGCTGTGTACTTTGTATCCGTGTGTGCGTTTGTGTGGGAGCGCCACGCTCTGACAGCAACTCAACGAGCTGAGGCCTGAAAGCATAAGAATTCTTCTTGGCGTGCAGTTGCTTTGAAAAAAGAAATAACTGCTTAGCAATAATGGCAACAGCCACAGCAACTACAACAACAACAATAGCTGATAATCATAGCTAACCACAATGGGCATCATGTTGGAAACAATGCGCTTGCCACATTATGAGAGATTATTCCAAACCTTTAACTGTCAGCTGAGAACTCATTTTTTGCTACGAGTATTTTGTTTTATCATGCGAGATGAGAGTCCTTATTTAAAATATAAATCCGTTGGCTACAAATGCTTGTGGGTGTTGTTGAGGATTGTGGGCTTGGTAGTAATGGAGTTTTCATCGAAAAGATATGCTGATGCAGTTTTCTTCTTTGCCTTTTAATACATACATATGGAAATACATAAATAATAACGAGCCTTCAAATTAAAGCAAAATTTGCAACAAAAAATATTTTATATACATAGATATCCAAAAAAAGGATAATACATTCAAACTGAAGACTGTCTCTTTCCTTAATAAAATGTCATTGGTTTAGTTTTCAAACAAGGATCTGTCACATTTCGTCGTCTAATTATTTCGTAATACGAACGAGTTTTAGTAAATATATAGTAGATCCTATGTCCTGCTCTAGTTTGAAGTATCAAATATTTAAGACATAGTATTAAAC